GATATTGAAGAAAAATAGTCGAATTCGAAAACTTAGTCCTGAAATTGATGATGATGGTTTGCTGATTCTGAGTGGAAGAACGAATTTAGCCACCTGTTCAGATGCCCAGACGAAAAAGCCTTTCATCTTGTGCTCAAAGCATCCATATATTAAATTTTCACTTCAATTTTACCACGAAAAGTTCGGACATTCTGGAGTTGAAAGCATTTTAAATGAAATTAGACAAAAATTTTGGATTATCGATGGTCGAGCTGCAGTGAAAGTTGTCAGAAAAAGCTGCCAAAAGTGTAAAAATAATGATTCTATACAAAAACCTCCGATCATGGGACAGTTACCATTAGTTCGTTTAACGCCCTGTATTAGACCTTTTGTGAACGTGGGGATGGATTGTTTTGGCCCTTATTCAGTAGCAGTAGGAAGAAGAAGATAGAAAAGATGGGGCGTGCTATTCACCTGCTTAGCAGTTAGGGCCGTACATCTAGAAATTATTTCTACAATGTCCACAGATTCAGCAATAATGGCAAATCGCTGATTCATTGCCAGACGAGGAAATCCTCAGACAATATTCTGCGACAATGGGACCAACCTGAGAGGAGCAGCAGAAGAACTACGGCGTGCCCTCAAAGAACTTGACCAAAGCCAAATGATAGACTTCTCTGCCAATAGAAAAATAGATTTTCATTTCATTAGTCCAGGAGCTCCTCATATGGGTGGGGCTTGGGAAAGACTAATTGGATCAATTAAGAAATCTCTAGGTGTCGTTGTACATCAGCAATCATTGAGAGAGGAAACTTTGGCCACTCTTTTCGCTGAAGCTGAAAATATAGTGAACTCTCGACCACTAACGCATGTATCCGTTGACCCAAGGGATCCAGAAGCTCTTACGCAAAATCACTTTCTAGTTGGATATGCGCACACTGAAGGATCACCAGGTGAATTTAATCCTGGAAACTGTCTCAGGAAGGAATGGCGCAAATCTCAAATGCTAGCCAATGGATTTTGGAAGAGATGGGTGAAAGAGTACCTACCTACCTTGAACAAACGAAAAAAATGGACTGATGACCAAAGTTCAATAAAAAATTACGATATTGTCCTCATCGTTGATGAAAACTCGTACGTGTTGCAGACGTACAAACTAGAAGAAACACTTACAAGAGACCAGTGACGAAGTTGTGCAAACTAGATGTTAGAGTTTAAGAATGATTCTTCACCGGGGGGAGAATGTTCCGGCGTTTATTCCCTGTATATACTTGTTGTCGTTATCCCCTGTATATTTTATGAATGTTCGATTCACCGGGGGAAACATTTGAGAATGATGATGTCAATAAAATAATATTGTAATATGTCAGAAAAATATCAGAATAATAAAGTTACGATTTGCGATAAAGTATTGTAATTCAATTAAGTCTGTAACAAGCCGTTACATTGATGTTGATGTATGATGCTACTGAATAATATAATAATACACGTAACAAGTTCAGAAAATACTGTTTTTTTGGACGAGTAGATGAAATTCTAGGCGAGCCGTAGGCGAGTGCTGGAAGTCTGCGAGTCCGAAAAAACTGTTTTTTCTGTGACGGGACAAAAGTTTGGCATTTCATCTCTGCACTGAGAAAAATGGGTCAAATGATTATTTCATTCAGAAATTAGTATTGATCACTAGCGAAACTATTACTGCCTGTGAAAAATAAAATAACTGAACCAAAATTATTGATTCATTTGGTATCGCTCACCTACCATAAAAGTTTCTAAATTTGAAACAAGCGTCTACTGATTTGCGGTAAAACAATTAAAATAATCATTTTCATCATTTGTAGTGAATTCTCAACGATTTTGTCTCAAATCATGTTATTGATGGAGTGAATAGTAATATCATTTGTTATGAATGAAAATGATTGTTCGTCAGAATAGAAACTGTTTGCAGCCAATCAGATGCTTTTCAACTAACAAAACAGCACCAGTTTGAGATTAACGGTTTTTCATTGTGCAGAAATGAAAATTAATTGTCCACAACAAAACTACTATAGGTTGGTCAATAACAGTTGATTTGAGAAAAATGCTTTCGCATTCGCCATTAAATTGCGGTCCTTTCGATTTCGCAAATATATCTCAAATTGATAACCAGTTCATTCTCATTTCCAACAAATCAAAAACCACTTGGCCTCCATGAGCCGAAATCCATTGAGCCGACATCGTTGCCGATTGCTAGATATAACTCCCCAAATTAGGTACGCAATTTTAAGATGTATTGGATAATTTTCTAACCTTATCAGTAGAATATCTAATTCAAATAGTTACATACCAGACATACAACATCAGATAATAGGTATATAGTTTCAGTCTTAACGTTTACTGATAGATGGCGATATATTATGAGGAAATGAACACTAATAACGCCAAGATCAAAGATTACCATTGATTCTCCTACAGACTCGTAGGCTTTTGTTGAAAAACAGAAAATGATTATATTCTTACAATAGCTCATATTGATTTTTGATACTACCTACAGTACCTACCTAGTTAGTTATGAGTAATCAGAAATATCCTGATGTAAGGGTTCTTATATTTTCACCTAGTCGCCATTTTTTGTTTCTTCTTACCAAGAACTTGTAATGAATATCACGATGACATTCAATAATTATTTCTCTCATTCTCTTTTTTAATTTAGAAAGTCCACCATTAATGGCAACATCGCAATAATGTTCCCCGATAAGCGGTGTGGTGGGGTCGATGTCGGCTCGGAGATGAGATTTCTTTTCAGTTACTGTGACCGGCTTTCATTCTGACCATAAAATATAGGAGATCAGGATAATACTTATAAATACTATACGAATTTTTGCTTGAATGGGGACTTGGGAGTTTCTACGAGGACTTTTTAGGTAAGTGTCAATATAATAATGATAACATGTGAATTAAATATAGGGTTTAGGTGAGGTTAAGGTACGGATGTACATCCTAGGTAAATAATTTATAGGATAGTTATTATAGTTGATGTTCTTATGTTCTTTGTCTTAGAAATCAAATGAAATTTCAAGCTATTGTGTTTGTGAATTCAGATCATACAATCAATAAAACAATTCAAGTCTTATAATTTTTTATGTTGCAGCTATGCCATGGGTAATAATGGAAATTGTGAAGACAGGCGAAGTGATGGAGGCTATACCTTCCAAATGGAATGATGACAACGATCAGATGGTTGTCTACCCTTCATTCAAAAAATCGCAGTTGGAAAAGGCAATCAAAACAGAAATGGAACCAGAGCCATACTATAGAAAAATAACAAAGTTGTTTTGATGAGGCCACAACCGATTGAATATTTAGAATAAAAAGCAATGGGAACAAATCGAAAAATATCTGTGGCAAATAAATGATGATTTGAAAGATATAGACAATGTTCTTTGCAGTTATACAAACACCCAGTAGTAACAAAATTGAAATGATTTGCTTCCAACAGAAAACTGATTTGTCTCAAATAATGTGCTAATACATATTAATGGGCAATGAAGGTGATGCTAAGAGCTAATTGAGAGATGATTTGAGATAATACATTATGGTCACTTGAAGCAAATGCCAATCACTTGATATAAAAACGCGACCATTTGTGTTCATCATATATGTTATCAGTTATAAATAAGTAAACATTTCGTCCTAGTTGAACAGAGTTATTGATATAAAATAATCTCAAATCATTGGTAATTTACGTTCAATATTTGAACTATTGGTTGTAAGTATTAAAGTTATTACCTCGGCAAAATTCTCGAGTTATTTGCTTCAAATGCATAGTTCACTCGTCCCCTATTTTGTTGAGGTTTTCGCTTGGGAGAAGTGGTTTTTGATTTGTGATCAATGAAATTTTTTCTCCGTGTGGTGGCAGGTTATAAAATGTCACTTTTCATAAAGTACTTTTTTCCTGTGGGCAAAAAGTGAGTACTTTTTTCCCGGATATATATCACATATATATACACTTGATGGATTTTGTTGTGCTATAGTTCCGAAAAATGAGTCAATAATACCGTCTCCGAGAAAGAACTGCAAGTCCTTATCTTCGATTCGACTTCGCGGTTACGTATGTTACTAAACAACCACTAAATTCGCAATTTTGCGAAATCAAATCACAGAATTAGACTGACAGAAGTGACATCAAATATTTGATTACTTCAAAAGAATGATAAAGATGCCTATAGAACGCAGGTGTTCCTACTGTTAAAAACTTCGTCGATAATTGTCAGATTTCAAAATAACGTAACATTTTCCCAATATTGATTCGTCCTTTCTTCTGTCACAGAAAAAAATAGTGTATTATAAACGGGAAAAATATTAGATTTTAGCTCACGGTTTTTTGTCTCCACAACACAACCTGGAGCTAAAATCTACAAATTTTTTCCCTTGTATAATAAATAACTATTTTGAACGTGATGCGTGCACTTTTTTTTCGACAACCATGTAGAATAACAAATCAATGAGACACATTTCTATATTATATTCCTCTGTAAAATATACTTCCTTCTTCATTGATTCTCATTTGTATCGAATACTGGAATTTGAACAGAATTCCTATACTCACTAACTGTTACATTTGAAATTTCGTACAGACATTTTCAATAAACTCACTATCGAAGCTGCTTTTGATGGTTTCTTGCGATAATGACAACCAAACTTTCAAAAATCGAAATTTTAACTAATTTTATGTCAAATTTTTGTCAGCTGATGTTTCGCTGCTATGGTAAAATAATCATCTGCATGTATGCAAACCATATCTACCAAGATTTTTATATTACAGTAACAACAACGATGTGATACTTCTCGGCCTAGTCCGGGAGGTACATACCTCAGATGAAAACTTTATGGTATAAGCCAGAAATGTAGTTGTATTTCAACAATGATTTCCTCATCCTCCAAACAATTCAAGGAGTTGTTTGTGTGGTCATTGACACATAGATTCAAATTCTCTCAGATTTTTAGAAATCATCTATGATCGAATAGATGCATTGAATACTCACTTGGAATGTATGCAGGTTTCTTTCTTCCTGATGAACAAGGTTCCCTTCGGTGTTTACCACCACTAGGCTGCTGATATACCAATAAATTCGTCTTCTTCAAACATTTTTCACTATCTTTACCACTCATTCTGGAGACTTTTCCTGATACTTATAATTTTGTTGATCATATCATATTCACGAATGATTATCAGAACTTCATAACATGAATCACATGAATGACATGAATGACAAAAAGCTCTGAATTATTTTGAGAATTATGACATTTGGTTTGCACTGTGAGTGCACTGACATTAATCCACTGCACTCTTAGTTCTCGAAATCAATGGGTTAGCGTTAAGTATGAATGCTATTACTAGTGATGACAACGCGAGGATCTATTATAGGAGAAGAGTCATGATATCAGAACAAAGGGATATCATTATTCATATTTTTCCATTGATATTATTGATTTGTGAGTATATCGCTTTTTTGAATTGAGATTCACCTAACCAGAAGTCGAAACTTGTGCGGGATTAGGACGAGCGCGGGTTGTATATATATGAATAATTGGAACAGATACAGGGTGATCAGAATTCTGAATCTTGCTACACACTGTATATGTTCCAATTAAATGTCAGTAGATAGTAAATCGAAAGTTTAAATAGGGACATCGAAGCCGTTTTGACCAATAATGAATATTTTCGACACAAAAAAATACTTAAGTTGAAAAATCTCGATTTTCAACATCCTATATCTCTGTAATCATTCTCGCTAGACCCCAAGTGTGATACATCGATGAAATCAGATCTTCAGAAAGAATCTTAAAATACGATGAAATACAGGGTGTTCCATTTGAAAAAAATCAAGTAGTAATCTGTAGATTGTTCGTTCCGAGCACCCTGTATATTCTGATGCACCGGGAAAGAAATTCCTGGAAAATCATTCCAGATGATTTTCCAAATCTTCAAATCGGTTCAATAATAAGTGAGATAGAGGGGAGGGGACATTTATAGTGAATCACCCTGTACCAATTTGGTGAGTTTCGTCATTTAGGAAATTTTTCAATAATTTGCGATTTTGATTTTTGTTGTGTGACAAAAAATGCATCAATATACATTATTCAACAAAGTGAAGCAAAATTCGCCAACATCCATTCCATTGCTATCAAATTATTCTTTGTTGGCTCACATCTCGCCGACACAAACTACATAATTTTTGATACAAATACGATGGCACTGCATTGAATGAACATAACACAGGAATGACCCACCAAGCAGACCCAACAATGCATAATCAATATTATATATTGTCATCAGAGGCTGGTGGTGTTCATCAGACCATGTCAAAGGAATCTTCTCCACGTATCATCGCCAAATTCAAGCGTTATTTTGACGTCATCATGACGTCAGTCGGACGTCACAGTTTGGTGAGTGAATGACGTCAATACAATGTGAGTAATATGACGTCATTGGGCTGTGACTTATTCACGTCATTTTCACGTCAATGCGACGTCAACTACTGACGTCACCTTGGTCATTCAAGTAACGTAAAAAAGACGTCACTGGAACGTCATCTGGTTGCCTGGGTATTATCCGAATTATGCATGAATATTCCCAGGTGACTCATAATGATAATACCTATATGAATATGATTTCGATCAATTTTATCATTATCATCATCATTTTTATCACAAATTCGATGGCCCAACTTCAGCAAAATCACTTCTAGCATCTTTGAGGATTTATCATAGCACTACAGATATATTGAGAACCTGCAAAACTCTAACTAGGTACCAACGTCATGTATGGTGCTCCACTGCAACAATAATAGCAAATTGTCATGCTCCTCCTGTGAGTGTGTGATTCGTATCCATATTGGGTGTACTCATTTTTCACAAGGTCAATATACAATATACTCACCTACATCAAGTTCGGGTAGGTGGTCAGAAGAGGTACCCTGGATTTGGTGTCCATCTTTATCGCGTGAAATCTCTTTTTTCTCACCATATTGATGGAATCCTGGAAAAATATATATTCACAATTTTGAAAGACTAATTTAAATCGAATTTGTACCATTCTCAAGAATAAATCAGTTTTCGTCATATTGAGATATCCAAAATTTGAACTTGCTGTTCATTTATATTTTGGTGAAACGTATACCTGTTACCTATTTTATTCATTTTCAACATTGCAATGTCTTTGACACCTTCGTATATGGTCCGATATTGATTTTATTGATTTCATCAAGAAAAAATTTATTAGGTTTCAGATTCGAAAATATAGTTGTTCTTGAAATTGTTCCTTCAAGGCAGCTTTGTTAAAGATATGAAGATGCCAAGTTGATATATTTTCTTGAAAAATATTTGTGATCTTTCTCCGAACCCATATATCCTAATTTCGAATCATAATATTCGCTTTTTTTTTCAACAAATAGATCAAACGTTGATTATGGAAATTGAGACAAAGAATACTTGATTCCATTAATAGATGACATGACCTCCATCCAATTGGTTCTCATAAGTTGAATGTATTTTTCAGTTCAGTTAGATTTTTTCCAAACAAATTTCTCCAATAGGTTGAATACACCATCATCATACCTAATGTACCAATTGACTACTGCACCAATAGTCCATGATTTTATTCAAATTTATTGAGCGTCTTTTTGTTCAATAGATTGTTTTTTCAATCCAAAGGGTCCAAGGGGGCCCACTCATTTTAGGTTGCCGCCTATCCCCTTCCTAAAATTTCAAACTGTTGAAAACAGTAATCAATACATTGAATAATGGAATAATATTTCGTTGTCACTGTGTTCATCATGAAGAATCATCTGTTGTCAATGATTCTCTTTCATATCCACATAAGTAAGTAAAAGCAAAATCCTGTTACCTAACGGAACCCTCCTGATATGCGTCGACAGACCTCTATCAACAAAATATGAAATCAAAATGGAAAAATATTTAGGAATCCGGATGAAAGGCATCTGGGGTGATGTCAGTAGCATATGCTAATAAAGTAATTTTATGAGAATGTTTGAGAACGCGTTTTGTGACGTTAGAAAAGGCAGAGGAAGCGGCTGAGAAAGTGGTTCGTATATTGACATTGCTCCGATATTCACTCTCCGAATATTTCAATCAACCTGTTCCTTCAATCGCAAACATCCTTCCTTACCTAACACCACTACGCACGTCTTGTTTGATATTCGATTTGAAATCTGACCTTCCCAATGAATACTTGGTGTTGTCGAGGTTGGGGCGAAAAATAATATGAGCTACCGTATTAAAGATAAAGATAGATAGATTATATCTCCTTATGACTTACACTGGGCATACGAATTCGGAACCTTTTGAGTGTGATGACTCACATGTTTCTCTGGAATATGCATTGTGGCTCATACACCTCATGGCTCATCAAAGACGAACAACCCTGAATAACGTTCGAAGAACTGATCAAATGACAAAATGCCCATAAACGTCAACTTCAGTTTTTAGGGGGACACAACTCGAGATTGATTTTTAATCTGTCATGGTTCTATCATCTTCATAAGAACCAAAATTTCATGAATTTTCATATGGGAACATTTGTCGAGTTTTTGCATATTGCTCTATCAGTTTTGAGAATAAGTGTGTTCGATTCAGAACGATTAACCCAAAATAACTTCAAAAGACATGATGGAATGAGAAAATGCTTGGACACGTCAACTTTGCTTTCTAGGGGAACATAATTCAAGATTGATTTGTCATCTGTCATGGCGCTTTCCTGACATTGAAAATCACCCCTTCAAGAATTTCAAATGGGAACATGGGTCAAGTGATACCACATTCCAAAGATATTTCCAACTCAATAATCGCCGTGTTTTGTTCTTGCATATTGCTTGATAAGTTTGTTGAATGATGGGTGTGGCCTGTTTTGTTTTCATGACATTATGTTGTGTTCACGAAAATCTTGATGTCATTTGCAATTCTGATTCGATATAATGGTAACTAGATGAAACGACATAATCAAATATACAGGGTGATCCATGTTTCAGTTATGAAGATCGCGGAATTTTTCCACCCTATATTTAAATCATTGAATTTTTTGAATCCTCATGGAGATTTCAATCAATAAATGGATAACGCATAGGGATTGTATTCAGGTATATATATCCCAGGTAACACGAAACTCTCCGCGATATCTGTAAGTAGTTATCTTCAGGATCAAAATGCGAAATCCTCTTGCGAAGTGCCAAAGATCACTATACACTGAAGTCGTCCGAAAGGAATCGCTGAGATCTCGCCTCAGATTTGAATCATTCCTCATTATTGCGAATCCTTGAGATTATCTATAACAGGAAATTAATAGGCACTTTTTTCAGCGAGCACCCAAGGATATCCTGGACGTAACAAGATCGAGCATTTCCCATTGCGAGCTCCTAAAGTAATCATAAACATAACCTGAATCATTAATGAATATTTCTACAAGAATATTGAGTTGTTTCTCCAATAGCCTTTATAATTCAAATACTGAGTGTACCAAGTTATTGCATACAGACGATTTCTCACCTATTTGTCAAGATATCAAAAACATTTAGAAACTGCATTGAATATGGCATTAAATAACCTTCCTGATGGCTTATGAAGAATTTAATATATTTGGCAGCCCCCTGATGGTAGATACTATCAAGTTTTTATCTTCAAATAGCATATTGTCTCTGAAAATTGCGTATCAATCTATTTGGAAAATAACGATATATATATAACTCTTTATTAGCATACAAAGTGCTCTTCACAGAAAAATACAGAATAAGCAAAAAAAAACAACACAAGTATCACAAATAACAAAAGTCCTTCAAAAGACAAAAACAGGTACTATAATAGGTACAACATATTAAAAGTTCCTATAGGTACAATATTAAAAATCAACTAGATACAACATATTAAAAGCTACTCTCATAAAATATAATTTCATACTATTAAAACTGTTTGAATACATAGTCTCTGCTTTTTTTTTGGAAAAGGGTCAAAGTCGTGAGGTTTTTTGCCTCAGAGGGTAAGCTATTGAAGAGTATTAAACCCTTATTAAATACTGTGTCACAGTGCATGTTATCCATCCGAATATAAAAAACATTTTCAGTTCGAGTTCTGGTCTCATGAGTGTGTACATTTTCAAT